AGGGAACCACAAAACTCTTCCACCAGCCCTCAGAGAGAATGGAGGGAGAAGGGGGAGTGGAGAAAACCTTGAAATATTGAATATCCATGCAGAACAGAGTGCTGTAAACCAGAAGATACTGAAATACTCCCTAAAATTGGGAGAAGTTTGAGAGCAAGACGAGGTCAGCTTCAAGAGAGGTTGCACTGTTTTTGCGCCTCTGAGTAGCTGGGAGTTGGCGCATAAAATCTGACTCTGCCACAGGGGCCAACCAGAGCCTCTCTCCTGGGAACTTGAACCTCATATAGAGGAACACGTTTATAGAGGAACTGAATCGCTCTGACGGCAATGCTCCAGAGGCTGCCTGTGAATTCCTGCCGCCTGGGAAAGGCTCTGGTCCCCAGTATAATGAGGCCTGGTTGTTGGGTGTTCCCTTCTGTTGAAGCGGCTTTCTGATATCCTGCCAGTAAATTCCTTTTCCAATCAAGTCAGAGTAGATTTCTCTGTTCTCTGACACAGGACCATCCAGGAAGTGCAGGTGAGGTGAGGACAGTCGTGAGGCGAGGCCTCTGAGGACCACCAGATGAAAAGAAGAGATGTCTGAGGAGGAGTCTGAAAAGGGAAAGCCGAGAGGATGTTCCTGGTGCAGGGGCCACAGAAGCCGGAAGGAGAATGAGTTCAGAAGGGGGCCATGTCGTGTCAGACCACGCTCAGAATTCGAGCAACATCACATCAAGAAACAGAATGTTACTGGCATCCCAGAAGCCCTCAATACTCCCTTCTAGTCCTCACCATTTAGATTCTTTTCTCTTGTAGCTTTACAGCTTGATTCTATTTTTTGGCCTTAACACCTTTCTGATGTCATCATACGGTTTAAATTACAAAGTTCAAATAAATGAAAATTTGAGAGAGAAGGCAAGTGATTCACTAACCCTGGGTCTTCAAGTTTTGAAAACCCACCGTAAAGGGCTTTACCACAACTAAGGAGAGAATCTGCGATCCTAGGGCTCCCTCTGCAGGTCATCAGTGGCTACCGGGAAAAGCCTCCCATTTCTTCTTGGAGCTCAGGATTGAGTCCCGGGACTCAAGTTGCTGCAGACTTGACTCAAACCAGCGCAGAGGGATATGGCCAGGTCATTTATCTAGGCATCCCAAAGTCCTCATTCATTCCCTCTTCTGTTATCCAACATTTCAGGAAAGCAACTATCAAACAACAGACTATAATAGCTTTGGGGCTATGAAGAGAACGCCAGGAAAGTGCAGTTAATCTCTTCCCCAACTACCACCAATTCACCCAAAAACAAGACTGTTGTGAAAGGCTCTGCTGCTCAAATCAACTGTCAAAGGAGCCAACAGTCCCCAGTTATGGTTCTAAAAAGGCAATGGGCGGGGGAGGGGAGAGGAAGGAGGTAGATGGGGTAAAAGGGGTCAAATATGTGGTTACATTAAAGAATTTTAAAAATTTTAAAAATTAAAAAAAAAAGCCACTGGGCAACTGTAATAATTTGCTTAGATGATTGATCGATTTACTGATGGACTCACTCACTCATTCAATACATACAGTGGCAGACTCTGCCAGGTACCGGGGACACAAGATGCAGCCCCTGCTATCATGGAGTAAGTGTGAAGCACACTTGGGAGCACACAACACAGGGGCAGTTAACTTAAACCGGGGGGCAGGGGCTGAGGGAGGGAAAGTCAGAGGGAAAATGTAACAGACACTTTTTGCAGCAGCTTAGAATCTAGCTGAAGACATAAGAAATGTACGAGTTAAAGGTTAAAAAAAAATAAAAGGTACTTGATGAAGTCCCAAGTGACGTGTTTCTGGAGTCCTAGAGATGAGAAGGGGCCCGGGGCTGATAAAGTTAGCAAGTGGTAGACGGAGAAGCTACAGGCTCTTCGGTTGCGGTGAGAGGCAAGAAACAAATGTTCAGGGAGGCCAACAGGCCACCAATTGGAATCGCAGGGAAGAGTGAAAAGGGTCACCATCACGCAGGGTACGTCCTTCCAGTTGTGGGTCCAAGAACCCTACTGTGTCAGGGTACTCAGGGCTGTCAAACTCAAGGAGGTAGACTTGATACTGGTGATCTATAAACCAGACACCAACTTATTAATTTGCAGAAGGGACTACATCCTTCCCATAGCTGGAATGCTTGTGCTTGCCTCCAGGGTTCTCCTTGTTTCTTTTCTCCTATTATTTCTCACCCTTTCCTTGGGGGCCCTCACTCTCTCCTGTGGCTTCAATGGTCACCCGCATGATTCCACAATCTCTATTTCCAGTCCACATCTCTCATTTGTGCTTCAGACTCACAGATCTTCCTGTCCCATGGATACCTCCACACGGCTACCCGACAGCTCTCAAGTTCAATGTGTCCAAACTGAGCTTGTCACTTAGAGGCATCTCATCATAAGGACATAGTGGGAGCACAGACTCTAACCAGACTGCCTTCGTTCTAATTCTCACTCCACCAGTTACCAGTTGTGTGACCTCAGGCAAGTTGCTTTACTTCTCTTTACTTTGGTTTACTCATCTGGAAAATGAAGATGATAATGTTAATCCTTAGGACTGTTGTGAGGATTAGAATGAGTTTTCTGACACATAGTAAGAGCTATAAAAGTACTAGCTTTTACTATTATCTTCCATTTAAATGTTGTTCTGCGTCTTTTCCGTGCCAGCTGGATTCAATAGAGTTACATTAAAAATAGGCAACAATTCAGTTGCTCAAACTAGAAAGCGAATTGTCTTACTGCCCTTCTTGTTAACATTCAATCTTTCACCAAAGCCTGATCTACACAACTTTCAATCTCTTTACTTGCTCTCCATTCCTGCGGCCACCTGCTCATTGATCCCTGTATCATCTCAGGCCTGGATCATAGTGCCATCCAGGCTAAAACCAGAGTAATCTTTCTAAAATAAAAGTCATTTCTCTTCTACGGCCCTCACGGTTCTCAGAATAAACTCCATGACACAGCCCTTGAGACCCTTTGTGACCTGATTCCTGCTTTCATCTGTACCTCAAACTGCTTGTGTCCAAAACTAAACTCTCTCCCTAGTCCCCAAACCTGGACTGGCTTCCTGAATTCCCCTCCCTGGTGAACCGGTGCCACCTACTGGCCTTCCAAGAGGGTTTTGCCTTTCAAATACTCCCCAAGTAATGAGCCACGTTCTGAGAAAATGTCTAACTTTATGATAGACATATGCTTACATGAAGCACTTTAAAAAACTTTTTGGTTTTTAGTATTTAAAGCCATAATAGGTAAAAATAAGGTAAAATGAAGAATTCACCAAAATTGTATTTATCACTTATTAACGTCCAAGAACTGTTATTAAGCTCTGGAAATTCGTTATTGATCTAGAGACAGTCTTTGCCCTCAAGGATATATGTTTTATCTTAAGAAATATTTTAAAAATATAATTTAAAAACGTATTTTATTTTGATGTAAATGACTTGGCAATTTTTGAGAAAAAATGCATCGTATTTTCCTTTTATATTCTTTTCTACAGGGCAGCAGTGGATGGACAGGCTTTAGAGATTAAATTCTGATTCCGCCACTTAGTAGCACTGTGTAACACAGGATAAGGAGAGCTGCAACAAGTTATCTAATCTCTTGGAGTCTCGGTCATCCTTATCTGTATATGTGTAAAACAGCAGAATATTAAATGAGAGAACATGTACATAGCCGCTGCACAACAGAGGCAGCCATTATTATTAGCGTCATTAAGTTTGATGTTGGAACTTTACAATGTACAGCTATTCTTTCATCCCCTGTCAGTTATTGAGCCTCTGGTATGAACAAGGGAATTTAACAAGTTTTACCCAGGGCTCACGACATGCTTTATGTTTAATCTTATACAAAGACCTGTAGATTCCATTCCCAGACATGGGTCAGGCATTCCAAGGTCTGGCTGCAGTTAAGTCGGATATACTAAACTATTTTCAGTAGCCTATCTGGTTAGGTGCCGATACCTAAGTACTCGGGAGTGGAGGTAGGAGGGTTCAGTTTGGGTTTGGGTAACAACTCAGAACCTAGGTTGTGCCAGAACCAATTCTACTGAGGAAAGACACCTTTTCTCATAAAGCAGGAAGTGCAGACTCGGAGCTGAGGCACGGTGAGGAGAGTTGAGCTACATCAGCCGCACCAGTCCGGTGATGGAGTGCCTGCCATCCCTGCCTGCCGTTGCAGCAACCATGAGAATCATAAAAATGGGAAAATCCCTAAAAATCCCCTACTTAGGTGAACTGCCTAAATCTTTTTGCAAAATTTAGTGTTATATTCACTTCTCTGTCGAGAGGGTCTACATTTCTCATCAGATTCTAAGCGTCATGCCTGAGAAAAAAACGAGATTCGCTCTTAAAATTCTTCACATAACAGATGAAGAAACTGAGGCCGAGAAAGGTAAAGGCAGTTGCAGTTGCCTCAAGTCAAACAACAGGGGCATTAAAATGAAAGCTTTTCCATTTCCAATTCCGGTCTCACATTCATAGCGCTGGCCGCTATGTTCGATACCGCATCGCTTCTCGGCAGGCCTTGAAAGATCCCTGGGATCTTTCAAGTGTTGGTGCCCAAATCCTGGAGATGTCGCAGGCGGTCCAGATTTTTAACGCCGAGGAGACTCGGGCCAAGCGCTCCCAGGGGCTCCGTTGCCGCGAAGATTCCACTACCCTGGCCTCACCCCACGAATTCCGTTGCGTTGGCGACTCCAGATAGGGAAGCATGCACAGGGGGTCTCTAGGAAGTGCAGGCGGCTCCGCCACTGCGAGGAACATCTATGCACTCACCTGACATAGAGGAAAAGGGCACGCCCCAAAAACCGGTCCAGAAGAAACCCACTACTGACGGAGGAGGGAGCGAAGAGAATAACAGGAAATGACGTCGGCGCACGTGCTTCCGAGAGGGGCGGGTGCGGGGCGTTTGAGAGGCGCGGCCGCCGCCTGCGCTTGCGTAGTCGCCGCCGGCCGCGCTGCCGAGTCACTGGGGTGGGCGGAGCATGAGCAGGGGGCGGGGCGCGTGCTCGAGTGACGCAGGCGCAGTGCGACTCCGGAGGCGCGGGCCGCCCTCTCCGCGGGTTTGGATCCGGGTCAGTCAGGCGCGGCGATCGGGAGAGACGATCTGAACCGACGGGAGTGGATCGCCGGAGCGCCCCAGCTGCGAGGAGGTGAGAGTCCTGACGCGACGGGGAGGGGCCGCGGCACCGCGTCTCGGCGTCCTGGCCCGACTTGACCGCGGGCGGCTTCCTCTGGGCCCGCCCGCCTCTGGTCGCTTAATGCCCGGGCGCTGACTGCTCGGGCCGGGCCGAGACTGGGCCTCTCCGCGCCCCCTCGGCCGCTGCGGCCGGGCCCTGCCGGAGCTCCGCGCTCTCTCCCCTTCCCGCCTTCCTGTTCTCTTGCAGCCCCCGCCCCGTCCCGCTGCTCCGCCGTCTCCCGCCCGGCGGTAGCTTCCCCTTTTCGCTCTCCTCGGCCGCCCTTTGCCCCTTCCCGCCCTTTCCCGCTCGTTCCTGAGCCCTAGTCTTGTTGGCTGCCTCATCGGCTCCGCTCCCGCCTCCTCCTGCATCGCTGGCGCCTTGGCACGACTCAAACGTCTCAAATCTGGCCCAGGAGTATCCCGAAAGGGCAACTTCCCAACTAGAGACTACGAGCGGCCAGAACTAGGGCCCTGGACACTCCTCACTCTCCGAGTCCCCCCGGTTCCTGACCTTTCCTTCTGATCCTGTTTAACTGCGACCGATCCAGATTCTGGATGAGAAGAATAACGTCGTGCTTTGGCTCTAGCACCGAGAGTGTAGAGATTGAGTGGGTGTGTAAAGAGAGGTGTGAATGTGTTTTGTTCCGGGGGCCGATTGTTTCAACCTAGTCTTGCTGGCGACTTCTGGAGTTGCTGGACAGGGTTTTCTCTCTCGGACTCCACGCTTCCTGGTGGGCTGGGAGAGTTTCTAAATCTTTAACATTGTGATGACACGCTTACGCGCGGATCTTTTATAGCTAGTTCTCAGGTCTTTCCAGAGTCCTGGAAATTTGGACCTAGGCTTGAGGTTCAAAGAGGTCTTGGTTAAAACTGCGAGATATAAATAAGACCGTGACACACGCTATTTGTTGAAAGTCAAGAGAAAACCAGGAATTCTCTCTTTTGAGGAACTTAGAAGAATTTTAGTTGTCATTTTTGAAAGATTGGGGGGAAATCCGAGGTAAAGTTAATTTGTCCCATGTGATTTGACTTAATACAAAGTAATTTTTAATAGGCCTTTAAAAGTTTGATCTTTGGGGGGATTTTTAATTTCAAGAAGTCAGTGTGGTGAAAACGGCAAGAAAGTCTCCCATAAATTTAATATTAATGAAGCAGGGCAAGCCAATTGTATGTTTCCCAGAGTTAGTCGTACAGTTCTTGATTTCAGTGAATGGGAAGCTCGGAATACAGAGGAGCGTAGTAAATCTTTTGTGATTGCAAACATGCTCTGATTTAGCTCTTAAGGTCATACCTAAGACTCACCTTTGTTTAATATAACCGAGGGAAAAGGTGAGTAATCAAAATCCTGAAAGTCTGAAATTAGTTGAGATGGAACTTCATTCCTAAAGTTTTAGTCTACGTAGCTAATTTTTATTTTGGTCTGTTTTGGTTTTTAACTTTTAGTGTGTCAACAAGAATGTTAACTAAGTTTGTATTAACATCTAGAGGTCACCTGCAGTGCTATTAAGTTAGCAACATATAATTAAAAGTTACATATCTAGGTACAGAGCTTCTTAGCACAGCGTTAGGACAGGAAAAAGATTCCAGTCCTTACAGGAATAGGGGTCACAGTCCTGATAAGTGTCAGGTTTACCCTTATGTCCCTAGCACCCAGTCTAGTGCGAGAGCCTGTGGTAGGCATTCTATAAATATTTGTATAAGGAATGAATTTCTGTAGAATTCAGCAGTGTGTATTTAGATACGATGTTGCACTGATTTCCAAAGAGGCCTGAAGAGGATTTGTGTGGGGTCTATAAGGGGAGACAGGCTTAGATGGTTTAACTCTATAAGGGCCACTAGTCTGAGCATTTGACTGACAGATCATAAAGTAATTGAAAACTATAAATCAAACTTTATTTTAGTTCTGCCAGCAGGGAGAATTTGTTTACAACCTGCGATAGTACCCTTTTAGTTACTGTAGAGCTTTAAAAATATTAGAATGTGGTCTTTGCTCACTCCTCTCTCCAGGTCTGTAGGACATTATTGTATACATGGGGCAGGATCCTCCTCTAAATCCAGAAGAATTAGAAACCAGTGGACTATGGAATTGATAATGTTTCTTCAAATTCATATACTGGTTAAATAAACCAGCAAAATATATGTGGGGAGTATATTTAAATTTTTGGTCTTAAGTTGAAGTGAAAGCTGGCTGAATTCTTTGGACTATTTTCAGTGTTCGGTGTTTCAGTCCCCTGAGACAGCTGCCTAAAATGTCTTCCTTTACATATAAATGAAAAGGAAATGAATAATCTTGATTCCTTGCTTCTTTATTCTGCCACTGGTACTACATGATTACATTATATCCAACATATTATGACACCCGGACCTTTGGAATATTAGCGGTCTCACAATAACATCAAACCCACCCCTGAGAAATGAGCAGGTAGGGACTCAGAGAGGATCCAAGGTTCCACAGAGAGGCACTGCGCCCTCTGAGTGCCTAAGGGAGGGGTGGGGGAATGGGGTCGGGGTAGCAAGTTAGAAATAAAAAGGTAAAGTGAATCCCTGGCTTCAAAAATTTCCCATCATCATCATCATCTCCTCTTTTTTGGGGGGCGGGAAGGTGGGTTACTTTTTTTTTTTTCCTTATTCTCTGTGATACTGTAGATACTAGTTTATTTTTTGTTCAGGAATTTGTATTAACTAATATTTTACATTGAGCGAAAGAATAATTGGGAAACTAGATTCAAAGAATTTATTAATAGACTTCTCAGTTGTGTCTCTTGTTGCTTAGGTTGGTCCCCCTTCCCCTTTTCTTTGTTTAAATATAATAATCAGGGTGGAAGAAATGAACTTTGGTTTATCAAGGTAGTTGATTAAGTGAAGATCATTTAAAGGCATAGAACAGTATAGAACAGTAATTTCTATTTTTTCTTACGGCCTTTTGGATAAATTTGTTCTTTTCATCTTTTTGAGTTGCAAGTATAGTTCATTTCTTTTCTATCTTTCTTGTGTAATAATGAACATGTGCAAAGCTATAAGACCTGAAGGTATCAACCTTCTAGATAGAGTGTGGAATAATTGAAACATTTTTGTAATCTTGTTTTAAAAATGATAACAGTTCAATATCTGGATATGAATATTGATATTTGAGTCGGGATTACTTTAGAGAAATGCTGTCGTGTCATGAGGTTACACTTAACTGCAATTTTTAGGGTTAGACTAGATAAATACTCAGTAGCATTTTAAAGAATCAGAGTGCTGTTGGTTGAGCTTTCCCCTTTTATTTCTGATGCAAAGGTCATTTTGTCTATAGGTTTCTAGAATTCTACAACTGGAGAGACTTTTTCCCTTGTTAAAAAGTATACTGAAACGCAGATTTTAGGTGATCTAGTTTCTAAAACTATAATATTGGCATAAAATATTTGGACGTTTAAATTTTTTCATAATAAATATAAGAAAACCTAGTTTCCTAATTGTCTGCACTGAAGCTTCCTTTTAGAAACAAATTTGTTTTTTTTAGTATCAGGAATAAAGATTTTTACAAAAGGTATACTTTTGAGCCCATCTGTTTTCACTTGGCTCATTTTCTTTTGATTTTCTTTTTTAGTATTAACGGGAACAGCCACAGTAGTGTAAAAAGTTTCGCAATGAAATCTGAAGCCAAGGATGGAGAGGAGGAGAGTCTACAAACTGCTTTCAAGAAATTAAGAGTGGATGCATCAGGGTAATTAAATATATAATATTTTCTTGAGACTTGTTTACTAGGATTAAATAGCCTTTTCCTCTGAAGAGCTCTTTCTCTCCTAAAATTTCTCATTATTCCTAAGAGATATCAGTGCTAATAGTGTGACATTCTACCATATTCTGCATAGCATTGTATTACTTAACAGCAACTCCTCTGTTAAATTTTGAAAAGTCGCAGTTCCTTTGTACTCCAAGGTTGGGTGTTTTGTTTTTTCTTAACTTTGAGGAGAGTTGCCACTCTATCTTTTTAATCAAACATGATCAAGCAGTGTCCCATCAAGGATTTCCTCATATATCTCTAAGGAATCACAGTATTTTTTACTAAAAGTGAATTGGCTCAATAGAAATATATGCAGATGTTGTCGATTTCATGGGCTCTATTGCTGAGACTATCACTATGGAAACATCTATTCATTAAGGTACTGTCACAGAGATCAATAATCTTGGACCCTTTGGCCAAACTAATTAGAGCACCTATAGACCAGCTGCTGTCTGAATGTTAATATTTCACCCTTTGCCAAATGTTTTGTGCTGGACTCTTTTCATCCCTATTCTTTGCCCCAGGCCAGAAGAAATCTCACATTTTTAATGGCTATAAGAATATTTCTTTTTCATAAATGGAATCCAAACACTGGAAACTCAGAGTAGAACATTCCGCAACAAGTAATAACAGTTACTAAAATTTATTACTTACTATGTCCCAGACACTGGCTTAAGTACTCTGTACACATTATTTAATCCTTATTACCAACTTAGAAGATAAGATACTACTGTTATTCCAGTGTACAAATGAGCCATAGATGAATAAAGTCACTTGTTAAAGGTCACATTGGTAAGAAGTGGTAGAACTAGATTTGAACCCATGCAGTTTGTCTCTAGAACCTGTGCTTTTAACCATTCCTTTGAAAACAACATGAAGAAATGCATGCAATATCTGACACATAGGAAGAATAGCTAGTAGTTGTTACAACTGTCAAGCTTATTGCTACCACTATTTTGGCCTACCAGATGAGAAGATTT